GTGTAAAGTTTTATAATTGAGTGCAAAAATGTTTTGATTCGTTTAAAAAAATTTTAAGTTGTGACGAAATACGTAAAAATAATTTTTAAAAAAAAGGTATCATTTAAAGGTCCAAATTTCAGATCACTCTCCTTGCTAAACTGATGGGACCATTTTCCAAATTGCAATTATTCTCACCTTCATATTTTAAAGTTCCAATTGTATCAAAAAAAATATTTGTTTATTTAGAGAAAGTATGTTTTTTTTTCATCCGGTATTGTAACCTAAACTATCATTTGCACAAATTTATTAGCATATTTAAAGACAATTGATCAAGTCAATAAGATAGTATCTCAGTATTTTGAAATTCGGTCACTAGATCAAAAGTTAGTAAAACATTTTTTTTTTTATATTTAGTGCAATGTACAGTGTGCAAAATTAAAAAATCGACCACCCCCTGAATAACTTTTGATCTAATGATCGGATTTTCACGTTCTAGAACACAATCTTATTGACTCTAGGGGGTGATCTCAAATAGGCTAATTAATTAGCGCAGACGATCTTTTAAGTTACTAAATCAGACGCAAAAACATATTTTCTCCGAATAAACATGCCTTTTGTTTCGACAGATTCTGGTTTCTGACTCCCAAAGTCTAAGGGGTAGCAGCAATCTGCAAAATATGGTCCTTACAGTTTGCTCAGGAGAGCAGTCCTAAGTTTCGACACTTTAATGTTGATTTTATTTTTTTGCGTATTTCACCATATCTTGAGAACTTTTTAAACGAATTAAATAATTTTTACACACAATTATTACATTCGTTTATCCAAAGATAATTCCATGAATAAATATCACTTTCAGTTAATATATATATAATTTTATTGCTTAATGGTCGAAAATTTTTTGAAGTGTCAGGTATGCATTTATTACATTATTTTGAAGAATGTAAATTTATATGGCAAAGTACAAAATTTGAAATTGGTCGAATAGTTGCTGAGAAATCGAATTTCAAAGAAGCCTTATTTTAAAATTCAATTTCTCAGGGGCTATTCGATCGATTTCGCTTATATTTTGTACTTTGTCATGTGAAATTATATCTTTTAAAATTATGTAAAAACTTTTGCACCATACAATTCCGAATTTATTCGACTATTAATAATAAAATATAATAAATTAAAGATTATTTTCTTAAAGTTTATTTATTTTTGGATAAACGAATTTTATAATTGATAAACATACAGTCGAAAGAAAGATATGGTTATTCAGAGAAAGTACGTTTTTTTGTCTGAATTTGTAACTTATGATATCGTCTTCACTAATTAATTATTGTATTTGAGATTGAATCCTAGAACGTGAGGATTCGATCATTAGGATTAAAAAATGTGGAGGGTGGTCCATTTTTTACTTTGCGCATTGATAAAAAAATAATGTTACTTCTGATGATATGCATAGTTCCTTTTTATTGTATCAAAAATATTCAAGGCAATTCGATTAAAAAATTAGGTCTTTGAATTAGTAAAACTGTTCAAAAGTGACATTTACGATGTATTGAAAACTGTTGATACATTGAAATATTTATTGATAACTGTTCAAAAGATGTAATCTTTAATATGCATTTAAAACTGTTCAAAATTGAAATTTAAGATGCATTTTAGTTAAAATAAAAGTATGCCAGTTGGTTAGCCTAGTTGGTTAGAAGATCTTCAACTAATTCATCCTTAATAAACAGAAGCAAAACTTATTAAAGTTCCCTGGGCACAACTGTCTTGATAATTTAATAGAATTAAGCGCCGACAGCTTTTATATTCAAGATGCTGTTACCTATTAATTTGAAGCTGCTGTTACCTATTAATTTGATGCTGAGTGTGCTTCAAGCCACTATTAGAGTTAGAATCCCAGCACTTCACAATTACACCTCAGATGTTACACCACAGAGCTAACTTGTCATCGCAAAATTTTTACCAGTAAATAAATTTTTTTTCTTCTAAAATCCATAAAATATCCAACTTTAAACAAATTATTCTTCTAAATTTAAGTCTTTCATTCATTAACTATATTTAAAATAAAAATTTATATATATATTTATATTTTATGTGCTTTCCATCTCACATATGCGAAGACTGCTTTTTCTTAAAAAATTCATATTGTGTCAAATGCTATGTTTCAAATATCAAACTTGATGGTTGAATATAAGAAAATAAATGTAGCATTTTATTCCTTTTCTTGTGCTTCTTATTCTTTAGATGGGTTTCGGAAATGGCAGGAAACGGGAACAATAACGAACAAAGCCACGGAAAAAGATTCTTTTTAGAGTCGAAGCCGAATTTAATACTGCAATGTATTCTGATGCCGGATTTCAAAAGTTAAGGTCCAACAACGTATAAATAACAATTTCTTTCGCTTATACGAGTCTTAAAACTCGAATATATTTTTTTTAACTCTTGCCCAAAACAAATCTTAAGGCTATGGTTTTGAGATTTTTTGGGTGAATCATGGTTTTTATTCATAGAATTCAAAAAAGTAATTTATTTATGAAATATGGCTCATATAATTATTTTTATTTCCCTATTTCTTATAATATATATACATATATAATATACTAGCTTAATTCCCCGTTCTTCGTACAGGGTGGGAAAAAAACGCATCAATAAATCTGTACTGAACAGCACTACAAAATCGTGCACAAAAATTTCAGACAAAAATCGACACAAATAATAAAGTTGAAATGATTCTAAGGTTTATTTTTATTTATTATTATTTGTTGACTTTCTCCGTTGCTTTGCATTATTAGATTAATCAAAGCAAATTTTTAGTAGTTCATCCCATCAAAATAAAGGCTAATAGTATTCAGCATTATCTGGCATAATGCTTCTCATTATATTTCGCTAGCTACTCATTATAAAGCGACTCATGATATTTAAAATTCCAACAGACAAGCTACTCTCTCCTGTACGTATCTATCTACATAATAAATCTATCATAACAATGTACAGTATTGCTGCATCTGTAATCGGCACCAAATATACTTTAAAATACTTTGTACCTATATAAGAGTACATTTGGTATCTATCAAAACTTCACCTGTTAATATAAGGCCAATACTGCCCTTTACCAAAATTTAGCGTCATTGATGTTAATAATAGTAAGTCGACGGTACCCCGTAACGAATAAGAAAATTTTCTTCATTAATTTTTCTTTTTAACTCATATCCTTTTTATGACATTTAGTATTTACTATCAAAATCAATTAAACCTCATTGACATCAATAATAGTTAGCTTATTTTTTACACTCGCTTAAGCGAACTGAGTCTCAATTAATTCTGCCTTTCACGACAAGTATAACAGGAAGAGTAATAAACAGTTTTTCTGATTAGAGCTTTAATAAGTTATCTTTAAAATGTTTGAAAAAAGTGAATCGTGCATAGCATATTTTAAAACACTGGCTTACACTAAGTCAATGAGAAAATTTAATTTTTTAAATGTCCCTGAATTTGAAATATAATTTTAAAAAAATATAAAAAATCGGGATTCGTAATCCGTTTATATTTTTGCTCATCTAGATTCGTTTTTAATCTCGTATTTTTAGAGCTTACGGTATATCCGCAATTCTCTATATGGACACACAGACAGACACACACAAATTCCAAATTTTATTTTGTGTAATGTATAGACTATTCCTTATCCTTCTCGAAGGCTTTAACATATTAGATTAAGTGAAACACATTTTTAGTAGATCATCCCATCAAAATAACGAATTACTGCATTCAGTGTCATCTGGAATAATGCTGTTGTTCAAGACAACTCATGACATTTAAAATTTATCACAGTCAAGATGCTTACTTCTGTACTTATCTTTCTTGTACAGTATTGATGAAGCTGTACTCGCCACCAAATTTACTCTACATTGGCCCTATATCAAAGTATATTTAGGATCTATTCAAACAGCACTAATTACCATGATGCAGTGGTGCTCATTATCAAAATTATGCATCATTGGCGTCAACAATAGAATGGCGACTTTTTACGCTACCCCATAACGAAATAGTTCTATTTCTCCATTAATTTTGTTTTCCAGCATAAAACTTTTTTCTTTATTTCAAATACCGTCGACTTTAAATTATTGAGTTTTATAAAATACGTTTTAAAAGCACAACGAATATAAATAAACACGATGGTTTCAAATAACCTTAGAAATATTAAATTTCGTGCAGTCTCTGTAGTTGGTGTTAACCATAGTTATACACCGACTTCTCCGAAAAAGAGTGATAAGCAAAATAAAAAAAAATAAAAATATAAAAATAAATATAATTTAAAAAAATACACACACACACACATATATATATATATATACAACAAAATAAATAAATACAAAAAAAACACGAAAATTGAGAAAAACAATAAGTTTCATTTATTGCGCATAAGCTGCAAGCAAACAGAACTTATTAGATAAGTTCAAAATGAAGATAAAACAAAGGAAAATTACAGACATATGGAAAAAGGGGAGGAAAAGAAAAATAATAATAAAAAAATAGGAAACAACTAGGGGAAAAAAAGGAAGAAAAAAAAGGATAAACAATAAATAGGACAATAAAAGATATAATCTTTTCATCAGCCCACACGATTATTTCTGCAAATATATATATANCTTATATATATATATATATATATATATATTATTAATGAAATAAAAATTGATTTTAGAAATTTAAGATAATTGGCTAAGGACACACACATGTGCGTGATTACAAAGGCGTAAAATAACATAAATTAAATTAATGGTCTATAAAATAATGGTGCTTATGTTGAACCATTGAAATGAACCAGTAACACAGACATTTATTTTTTAATGTTTTGTAATGAGTCAATTCTTGCTGGTTTGCAAATGAATTCGTACATGATTTGTGATACCATTAATGTGTTAACAAGCTATTATTTTTGAGCATGTTTTAATAGTACATTTATTTTTTTAATGTATTACTTTATGTTTGTTACATATGATTTAAATAAAATAATATTTTTTCAGAAATAAACAACATAATAAAGAAGAAAAGAATGAAAGTAGAAGAGATCCTATTATGAAAAATTCGATCCAAGACAAACAGTCAAGTAAGAGATTTTTAAGTATAATAAATGCTGCAGACTTAACTTTAACCGAGCAAAGTAGAAATATTTTTAAGCCATTTATCGTATGAATTAACTGTATTTTAACTAACTTTTAAATTCATCTAGTAAAATCAATGTATGTTTAATGATTTGAGAGATATTTTTGTAAACAACAGTTAAAGATAAACAACATAACAAAGAAGAAAAGAATAGAGTAGAAAAGATCCTGAAACGAAAAACTCGATCCTACACAAATAATCAAGTAAAAGGCTTTTAAAGTATAATAAATGTAGACTAAGCTTTTACCAAGTATAGTAAGAAACATTTTTAAATATTTATAATATGAATAAGTTATTATTTAACTAACTACAAATTAATCTTATACAAAATATTTACATATTTCTAATAATTTAGGAGACAATTTTATTATTCTGAAATAATGAGAACATTTTATAATGAGTTATAAGCTTTTAAATTTGAAATATTGGAAAAATTATTCAACCAGAAATCCTATTTGTAAGCGTTGTTTTTATTTTAATTTTATTTATTTATTTATTTTTGGATAAAATTAGAAAAATTTCGGAAATTTAATGTAAAATGCCAAAATCTATTAAAATCTATAATTAGGTAAAATTCTATGGAATACAATTCTAACAGGTAATTTTACAATTGGTCTTAAATAATATAATTACTAAATATGAATAAATTAATAAATAATTTTACATTATTTATTAATATAACAGCATTTCTTCATTGATATAGCTAAAAACTACTCGAAGTATTTTAAAATAAAAAAGGGATACATTATAAACTAAACGCTTGATATGTGATAGCATTGATAAAATTAATTTAAATTAATGATTAAAAATTATATAAAGGGTGTTCTCTAATCCCCACCATTTTATGTACTTTTTATTATATGAACTTTTAACATCCTTTTAAAAATTAAGTACACAAAAGAGGCAAATTTATAATTAATCGAGGAGGGAAGAATTTTGCCTTAAAACGAAGAAAAATGAGATGTAAAGCATCAAAAGCCTATTTAACTGCCAAAAAAAAAAAAAAAAAGTCGAAGAAAATTGATAGAGGCAATTTTAAGTTTTGTTGAATAATCAAATTGTTTTTTAATGTTCAATTTTAATTCCACTTTTTACAATAAGGTTTCTTTAGATTTTGATAATGTTTTTCTTTTCATTTTATAATTTAAGTATTAAAGAACCCTAATGCTTTTTTTCTTTATTTTTATAAATATTTTACGCAAATATGATCAAAAGCAGCAATCATGGAACACTTTGTATGGCAAATTTGTGAAGAAAAAATACATTTTTGTGAGCCGATCATACAATTTTACAATTATCCACCAGAAAAGACCTTTTGGATCCCAAATTTTTTCAAACATAATTCAGGTTGCTTCAAACACGACACGTTATTTTTAACCATTACGTTATTTTTAACATTAACACGACACGTTATTTTTAACATTATTTTATTTTATAACCGGCGTTGAACACTCGACCCAATTCTAAGTTTACGACAGTAAATGTTTAACTCCGTGACCTTGTAATTTGAACCAAACTCAGAAGATAAGGGAACACCTGGATCAAGCATCAGGACAAACTACTCTTCTTTGAGGGCTTTTTGGTGAAACAAACACACATTTGCTTTACATGAAAAGGAAAACCACGGAAACCTCCCACGGTTAGCTTGATGGTAAGGGAATTCTAACCTATGATCTGTTTACAACTGAGAATATTTTACGTCAGCATTGTGATCGCTTCGAGCCGGGAGAATTCGTATCAACCAGACATTGCTGGAATTCAATCCTGGGTCACATTGGAAGGCAGACGCTCTATCCCCAGAGGCATCGCGGGTCTTTGGCCACTACGTGTAAAAAAATATTACTATCTTCAAATGTTCTTTTTATTGCATAGCACATATTACATTGAAACAGTTTACGCACCTTATTCGGTTAAGCATAAAAATCTATAATAATGAAAAGAGTTATTAAGCAAAAAAATCATTTGATATCTCAATGAAGAGCTTAGTGTTAGATTACGTTGCGTTCATAAGTGGATTTCAATGAACTTTGGATCTCGTTGTCATTTGTATCTTTAATGATTTCAGAACACAGAGGCATTCATTAATGCATTGGAATTAAATAATTACTCATTGTTTCTTTAACAGGGTGTGGACACAGTGTGTTAGGTGAATCAAATAATTGGATATTAAATAACCTAATTAGTAACTAGCATCTGTATCGTAAATGCTTTAAGTAATTTTTTATAAATGATAGGTTTATATGTTTACTGTTATTTTTTTTTAATATTTTGTTTTAATATTTCTAACTTAGTCTTAATTTTCAATGTTATCATTTACTTTTTTGTTTCAAAAGTGCAATTGGAATGATATTTGCATTTAATGAATAATTAGAAACAGAATATGAAAAGTTTAGTAGGGTTTAGTTGAGTCTTTTCTATTTAATATATCCCTCCCTTGTAATTTTTATAACATACAATTGAGCCCAATGATTATTTCTAGTAAAACCGTTAAACTAGATAATCCCATCAAAACATCATTAAAATATTAAAAACCATGTATTTATTTTAAATCAAGTGATAATTAAAAATTATCTAATTATTAACCTTTCTTATGATTAATATATTAAACACTTCTGTTCCAAATTTTATAGTTAAACTCAATGTGTTACACACATTAATAAATGAATGATAAAGACATTGACAACTTGTTGGCCCTCGAGTTGTAAAAATAATTGCTTTCTAAGAGCTAAATTCATTTTTTTTTTGTAATTGTCAGAAGTTTACAAAAAAAATTTGTTTTAATGTACATTTATAGAGTTTTGTGGATTTATTTTTTATTTATTTTATATTTCAATAAAACTTCTTTATATAAATATTTGGTATTTTGTAAAAAAATCCACAAAATAATATGGTAATAATGTGGTTTCCATCAAAAGAAAAATTAAATTATCCTTAAAACTACTTAATTGGCATGCATTAACAAAATTATATTATTTATGAAACAAATTTTTATTCTCATCTGTATATTACGTATGATTAAAGTTTCTAAATATAGTAAAATAATTAAATATATCGTTTATGAGCTAAAGAGGTTAAGGGGAATTCCCTTGTGTTTAAACAGATTTAATTATGATTGTAGATACTTTACATTTAAACGCAAAAAAAAAATATGCAGTTTCTATAAATCAATGAAAAAGCATTTTTATCGAACAAAACTTTAAAGTTTCTAAATTTTCCATAACCAGAATGACAGTATATTATTTTTTAAATCCCTTAATCATTCATCAATCTGATTATAAAATACCATTAGAACTCATAATATAGTAGCAAAATGTTACAAAATTAATTAAATGTTAGTATAGGCATTTGAACATATTTTAGCAAATTGATTTCTTTCTCCTTTTTATTCTTAATACTTTCGTGATTTTTAGATTCGAACTTAACTTAAAATTTGATAAATATATCAGATAAGTAAATTTTATATGTGAAATCCACTGCTATTATTTTTATTTTTTACTTACAGTTTTGGTAAATATTTGAATATTAGGTCATGCAAGCATTTATCAGTTAAAAATTGCTTAGATTATAAGATTTAAGTCATAAAAAGTTTTAGGTTATATAATTAAAATATTCTTCATATTCATCCTCACACATCTGAACGCTTCTAAACAAAATCTTATTAGTCAAATAAATAAAATTTATAAACAATCAATTGAAAGTTAAAAAAAAGTTTTCTAACATGCGGTTATAAAAATCACTCTTTTTTTAAAAAAAACAACCCAACTTTTAAAAAAAAAACTTCATAGGTGAAATTTATTTTTTTTTAAAAAAACTTCATATACATTGACATTAATGAGTAAAGTGTTTTATCTTTCTTCATTTTTATTGAAATAGTTTTTCATATGAATACTGTTAGTTAATTTAAAAAATAAAACAGAAAACTACTTTCTTTAATTTTTAAAGTCACGTTCAACAAAATTTAGAAATTGCAGCTGTTATTAAATTATTCAAACTCTGTGGATTTGAAATAGACATTGGTTGAGATTGTTTTACTTTTGAGACTCATTCAATATTAAATTATTAACTTTGCTAAAAATTTACTTGTAAGCTTTTTTTTATATCATTATGAATACGAGAATTCTTAATCTTATAAAAGGAAGCTCTAATTTATTTTTACATCAAACCTGAACGAGCATTTTAGCAAATAATCTTCTTAAAAACTACTGAAATGTGAAGCTAATAAATATAATTAATCGTGGAAGAATTATCTTAATCGAAATTACACGTTGAGCAAATAATTCTTTTCTAAAAGACTGAGCAAACATTTGTTCTCTGAAAATAAAAGTTTTCATCTCAATAACATAAAAAAATATCACTGCCATCTCAAAAAATCCTTTACTAGAAAGATGTATTGTATTTATTTCCAAAGTGATATATTGCTATATAAGACAATCATTCACTTATTATGTGACATATTATGTCCAGCCCAAGAAAGAAAGCTTTTTTATGTGGATATGGAAGAAAAGAAAAGGGTATAAGTTCTTCAAATAACAATACTTCACATCGAGATAAAGTTTCATTTCTTTTCACTACTGAATTGTTGAAGCTGATTCCATTTTGTAGTGCCTTTTAATTGAACTTTTTCGACTGGAATGAGATAATAATGTTGTTTTTTTTTTATAAGAAATAAAGACTTTTTTATTAGAATGTAGGATTATTATTATTTTTACCAAATAATAATTGCTGTGGAAAAATTGCTCTTAATTATTACATTTTATAGATTTTTGTTAAATACAATTTTCCAAAAATTATAGCCAAACTTTTGAAATTATATTCCGATGAAAATGCATATTAAGATGTATTTTAAATGGTTTCATTAAGATTTGTGTGATTACTGTATTTTACTGACAAAATATTTTACCAGAAAGGAGTATTGTATTTATTTCCTAAGTGATATATTACTATATAAGGCAATCATTTACTTATTATATACCATAATACGTCCAGCCAAAAAGAAAGCTTTTTTATGCGGACATGAAGGAAAAGAAAGGGGTTTAAGTTCTCCAAATAACAATACTTCACATCGAGATAAAGTTTCATTTCCTGAATTGTAGAAGCTGATTCTATTTCGTAGAGCCTCTTAATTGAATTTTTTCTAAGGAAATGGAATAATAATGCTGTTTTTTTTTATAAGAAATAAAGACTTTTTTATGAGAATAAAGGAATTATATTTTTACCAAATAATAATTACTGTGAAAAAAATCGTTCTCAATTATTATATTTTAATGAATTTAATGTAGCAAAATTCACTCCAAATTTTTTAAAATATGTCCTGATACATATGCATATTAAAAACTCCATGTATTTGAAATAGTTTTATTAAGATTTGCATTGTTGTTTTATATTACTGTAGTAATACAAAGAGGAAAATCCATCATAGATAGCGGGTGTGGAGATATATAGAGTTTTATTTTAATTAATTTCCTATTAACTCGAAATTAATCTACAACATATACCTAGAATAGTTGAAGTTTTATTTATCTCTTATTTTTGTATTTCTGTTAGTAATTAAATTTTTTTACTGTCCTCGAATTCCACAGTAATATTTATATGTGTGTTCCACTATATGGAAAATGTTTCCACTCTCAATGTTAGGAAAAATATTTTCACTCTCAAATTCATGGACTAGAGTTAGAACAGCATATAATAATAATTACTCACCAAATACTTTGTATAAATAATTTGTAATAGGGTTGCACTATTTTGAAATGTAACTAATGATTTATCAGAAGATATATAATCTAAAAAAAAAATCTCTGAAAGCTTAGAGTTCAAAGTAATGCTATGGAAATTTCCTACTAAAAAGGAAACTCAATTTAACGTTTTCTACCCTTTCTGATACAGTGTACACAGTCTGCAAGTATTTATTCCAAAAATTCAACAACAGTAAAACTATTTGAAACTGTACGATGCATTGTTCAAAACAAATTAAAATTAGCTTTGGATAACAATATGTCTTTCAATTGAAGTTAAAAATAAAAGTGAATTTAATATGCTTAAAAAATTACTCAGAACATGCATACTTTAATTTAACGGCATATTCAACCCCTGAAAACATCCTGCACTTATGTGAAAATTACATTTCCAGTAGTTTTTTTTAAATTTTTCTTATATATCTGTCGTTGAACAGCCGACCCAATTTTTGAGTTTACGACTACTGATGTTCAAATCCGTAGCCATGTCATTTTGAACCAATCCAGAAGACAAGGAAACTCCTATATCAGCACCCCCAGAGGTATTGATTTGTTATGGGAACATGGAGGACTTTGAGAGTCGACAGATTTAACATTCACCAGTCACCACTTACTACACGGGGAGTCTTCGGCAGACGGGAATCGAACCCACGAACTCTTGGTTGGAACTCCACGAACCTGGTAGGTAGGGCCCAGTGCCCTATCAACCAGGCTATCCTGGCCATTTCCTCGTAGATTTGTCACCAGTGCAGTGGATCGGAAAGAAATATAATTCAAAATTTGAATATCAGTAAGAAAAGTCAAGATGCTTTTCAGTTTTTCAAAATGTGACTCGTAATGACTATAACTGTTTAAAAACGTATCAATGCCCTTTTTTAACTATAAAAATTAATCTGTTTTTCAGATTTCTTGGTGATCGAAAAAAGTTTGGCAAATATGACAAAAGACTCTGGAGAAACAGTACGAATGCGTTGTGAAGTTAAAGGAAATCCCATTCCTAAAATCAGGTGGTACAAGAATGAGGCACCCCTGGAACAAGAACGAGGAAAAATTGAAGTTCGTAAATACAATCCTGATGCTGGAAAAATTGGTTCCAGGCTACGAATAGTTGATCTAGATATTCACGACACTGGTTATTACAAATGTGAAGCTACAAATGAGTATCAAACAGTAGAGACAACTGGAATCCTAATGGTTAAAGCAGGTAATTGCAGACATTTTAGACTGTTACATTTGATTTTTAAAAGTTTTTTCTTATCCTTTTGTTAAGAGTACATCAAATGCGATTTAAACATATTTATATCAATAAATGTTTATACGAGGCTAATTCAAAAAGTAAAGATATTGTACGCTTACGTGGAAAAATATTTTATTAAGTATTTTAGAAACATTTCTTTCTACCTTGAATCTTAAGCTTCATACTCGTGGTTGTTTGGCGCTTCTACATTGGTTCTAGTTTGAGTTCCGCATGTTTTTATTAAAATGTCAGTCCAGAAATTCACTTTATCATACATCCTTAATAATATACACAAACAATTACCTCCACTTATAGAAACGTTATTTTCCAAAATATATTCATCAGAGATTAGTGGTGAGCACCTCCTGCAAGAAGGAAGGCCTCAGCACGGATCAATTTAGTAGTCCGATATAACGAAGTTAACTGCGCAGTAGATGAAAAATAAGAAAGATGTCATTACGTTCGGGGTACTAAACTGCGCAGTGGTTGAAAATCCGAAATATGTCATCACGTTTGAACTACTAAAGGATATTTATGTTAACCCGTGCTGAGGCTTGCTCTTTTCTAGAAGGTGTTGCTGGTAAACCCTATGTTTCTTGTAAACATTCTACTCCTGCTTCGTTTAAGTTTGAATTGGTTTTCTCATATAAAATATCCCTCAATCAAACTATATTTGTCATAGATATGCCAAACAACTATGAAAAAGAAGTTAAAAGATCAAGGTGAAATATTACCTCACCAAGCAATGTATTTTATTATTCCGTAGTAAGTACTTTAAATTAGATATGTATTTTTGGTTGGTCATAAAAATTTACCTATAAATATTAAAATAATAATTCCTGTCCAGTCGGTATGAAGTAGAGTAATGGACATCCATAGCCCGGATAGGTATTCGACTCTCTGTGTTAAATGCTGCTGTTATAGTGTTACATTCAACAGTCTAATAGTATCTATCTCTAAAGAGTTAAAGTTCGCGCCTTGTTGGGTAGTGGGGAGCGTGATGCGCAGACCGGGTGATTACTGCTCCCAAATCAAAATTATGGTATTGTATTGTAATGCTCGAGCGCATCGAGACTGTTTTCGAATAAACTATAGGGAAGAATCCTAGATCGTCCCCAATAGCCCATCAGAATAGTGCGTCAAATCAAACATTCCAAAAAAAATTCGACTTCAACATGTGATAAACTAGGGAGATTTGTTTATATTGAAGATTGCGATTTCAATTAACAATTTCGATAACTTTGAAATCCCAAAACTCCAACTTTGAAATTCCAAAAAAAATTAAACTGTAACATGTGATAAACTAGAGAGATGTGTTTATATTGAAGATTGCGATTTCAATTAGCAATTTTGATAATTTTGAAATCCCAAAACTGTGCGTAATTAATAATGAATAAGCATGATTAATTCAAAAAACGATCCATTTTTGGTGGATAAGTCTTTCTTAAACTATGAATAAACTACTTGTAGATATGCGAAATGTTATTTCATTCATTCAAAGTGATTTGAATACAATTTGTGTAGATATTTATAGATCTATCCATTATTTTTTAGGTAAAAACAAAATGTTTAAAATGTCATAAAAGATAGTTTTTTTAAAGATCAATTAAAAGTAACCAAATAATAAAGTGAAAAAAAGAATTATTCGACTGATCACCAGATTTCAAATAAAAGCAGTGAAAAAACTATTACAAGTTTATTTTCTCCCTTTTTTCAGATATAAACAAACCCTGTTTCCTTGGATAAGCGTTTTCTTCCTTCCGTTTTCTACATTTTACTTTTTCTCTAAACAATAAGAGAAAAGTTCGTAGCTTTTATCATCTTTTTTTTTGGCAACGCCTCAAAAGACTAGGGAAAATGAAATGTATCGATGCGGAATTAGAACGCGTAGGGAAAAAGATATCCTCTCGTTTTCCCTACTTGCCTATTTCGTACAACGAAATTGCAGTAACGATTCATGTTGGTTGAGGAAATTTATATCCATCTGTACTAAATTATTAGAATATTTATATCTGGTATCAAATATCCCGGCTATGCCATCAAGAATATTTGAGTCAGTCTATAAAAATGAAAGCGATCCACTATTCTTGTTTGCATAAAAGGAGCAAAACCCATCTAATAAGCCATATATGCTCGAGGCAATGCATAAAAGAAAGAAATTTCCTGGCTCTCTGGAGTGCTTTTTGTTCTCTTCATAGCGCTTTTTTTTGTGTAAAATGCTCGCCAGAGTAAGCCTTATGTAAATATGATTTCCGCTCCTTACCTATCTAGTTCGTTATTTTACGGAAAAGAAAACTGCCCGTTTAAAGAAAACATGCAGTTTTAAAAAGAAGAAGTTAACTGCCACTTGTGTGCTCTTAGAAAAAACTTTTTTGACCTCATTAAAGAATATTTTCGAATGTAAACTTCTAATAAGACTGTTAGTAAAGGAATAGGTTTTATACACGTTCTATTACTTGACATCCTCATTAAATCGTAGTTGAAAAGATTTCGAAACGTTCTTTAATCGTTTCTTTTTTCAAAATTTTCGTTTTTTTTTCTTCTTTACATAACTGTTTTAATGTCTTGTAAATAGGTTTTTCAATTTAAAGTTTTATTCTCTCTACTATTGATGTTAAACTATGCGTGTTTAGTTATGAAAATTTCTTTAATTTAGTGGTTGTGAAAGAAGATTTTTTTTAGTAACTTGCTTATAACTGAATGAATGAATAAAATTATTCTTATGCCTCCGTGGTTGCATTTATTAAACTTTAATTTGTATGATTTGTGTTTTATGAAAACTCTATTTATGTTAAGATGCTTTCATTTAAAAGGAATTCACAAATAGTTTATTTCAGTTGAATATTTTATTAGAAATAAAAAATATATTTATTTAGAATTTTAAAAAAAATGAAATAAAATATATTAATTCTAAATAGAAGTTACTAATTTTTAATTTAATTTTTGCGTTTAAATCAATTTTTAAATTTTTGGGATATGAATTTTCGTCTAATTCTAAGCATATATTCCTTTAAGGAACCAGACAAAAATCTACTTAGTATTTTATTGTTAAGATCGCATTTTTATTTCAAGTCAATTCCATTCCATAAGTCAATTCCATTTAAATTCCATTCAAAATTCCATGGCAATTCCTTTTAAAATTCAATATTGAAATGTTACATATTTTGAACAAAGTCTTGTTTTTTTTTATTTTCTAAAATAATTATTTACGCTGATTTAAAAATTTGGTGTTACAAGATAAATAAACTTGTAAAACTAGTTTCCTCATAACAAACATTTTTGTGGTACATTTTCTACTTTTGTAATTCAAGTTATATGAAGTTGCAAATCAATTATATTATTTTGAATTTTCAATTCAATTTATATTATTAGTAAAAAAATAAAATAAAATAACTATTCATTACAAAGAAAATATTCGATTGATAATGTATAAATTGCATAAAACAATCAACCAAGACATAAAACAATTTCAACCAAGTTAAAAAATGATCAAAGAAACGACATTCTGGTTTTTTCTCCGTAAAAGTATAGTTTGTGATCTATTTCATACATTTTTTTTAAACATTATTTTCGTCAAGGTTTATAAATTATATATTAATATGGTGATTACGCAGCATCTTACACAAAGAGGATGAAACATTTTGTGGTAATAGTATACTTAATTGCAACTATTGCAATAACTGCATTCGAGCCACCATTTCATTCTCTCATATAGCTTTCAGCGATGTTTAAAATAAATCGAAAGATTAATAACATATTTCTGCTATAAACTTTCTAATATTGTAAGATCTTTAAGTTCTATAAACTTTCTAATATTGCAAGATTTTTTTAAATTAAGTAAACGTTACCAAGTAAGCTGTTATTTTTGGAAATAAATGAATTTCATTGAACTCTAATTCAAGGCAACGTGTTGTATTTCAACAAAGAGATATAGGTGTCCTAGCAGTTAAAATTTTAAAAAAATCTTCTAATTATTATTCACCCATGCCATGAAACTTTTTTCTGAATTTATTATAGAGATTTTTTTAATTTATGGGTTCAAATATTTTGTGAATTAATGTCAATTAAATTTTAATTATTAAATATTATAAATATTTTTAGTTTAAATTGGAAAAATTGATCTTACAATTGAAGTTATAGACTCTTAAACTGACACAAGAAATTAAATAAGGGTTAAGCTAGAATATCCACAATTTATTGAAAAATATTAGCATTTCTTTAAATTTGTTTTAAAAGTATACTATATATAAAATTGGACAGAAACTGGAAACGCATTTAGTTTTAAAATAACTTTTTTCCTAAACAAATAAATGTTTTCTACAGATTTTCTTACTTTCATTATACCAAAAAATTCCACCAACTTCTATCGGATTCTGATATTTACACAACTTCAAGATTCTTCCAACCTTTTTTCAAGCAAACAACTATAAACTTCTGCCTACAAAATGTACGAAGAGAGTACGATCTAGCGAAGAATGTCTCAAACGCCTCAGAGGACTTAAAGCTTCGACAATCTCATGTTATACCTGCATTGCATTAGCATCTGAAAACACACGCGGAAATTCAGAATTCAGATTGCATTTTAAAGTGTACTTATCAGGCCGCGTTCAGCTATCTCTACACTAAACCTTCGTTTAGTGAAAGAAAAAGCAGAATCCCAATGCAAAAATCAATTCATTCTGTCGCTTGGAATGTTCCAAGACGTGTATGCAGACGAAAGATCGACCCTTGTTCAGGCAAATAACAGANAAGTCTTGTTTTTTTTTTATTTTCTAAAATAATAATTTACGTTGACTTAAAAATTTGGTGTTACAGGGTAAATAAATTTACAAATCTAGTTTCCTCATTACAAACTTTTTTGTGATATATTTTCTGCTTCTGTAATTCAGGTTATATCAAGCTTCAACTCAATTATATTATTTTGAATTTCTCAATTACATTACAACTCAATTTATATTATTGGTAAA